CTTGGCCGGGGCTCGCTGCCTCCCTTCTCTCTGCTGCCCAGGGATCCGAGCAGCCTGTGCTCCTGCCTGCAGGTGGCTGCCATGGGGTGCCACTCCTTCGCGCTGCTCTTTGACGACATCAACCCCTGCATGTGCCAAGCCGACAGAGACGTCTTCCCCTCCCTGGCGCAGGCTCAGGCCACTGTGGCCAACGAGGTGTACCGGGAGCTGGGCCAACCCTCCATCTTCCTCTTCTGCCCGACAGGTACCACCTGCAGCTGTGCGGCCCCAGCCTCCCCGCCCCTGGGAGCCCGGTGCCTGCCAGCTCTGGCCCCCCGCAGCAGACAAGGGTGCCCTTCGGCTGGCTGCGCCCAGCACCTGGGTCTGCTGAGAGCTGACTGCCCTGACACCCTCCACGGCTCCCCCCCACCCTCTCTTGCTCCTGCGGGAGCTGCGGAGATGTCAGGATTGGCACAGGACCAGGCTGCAGATGGGCTGGCGCTTCAGCAGCCATGCATGCTGTACTCCCTGTGCCATGCATCTCCCAGCCCCTCTCCATTGACCCCGGGTAGGCTCTCCTCTCCTGGTCCCTCTGCCCCTCAAGGGATGCTCTGTGCTCTCTCCCCAGAGTACTGCAGCTCTCTGTGCTCCCCCAGCCCCAGCCAGTCCTGCTACTTGCTGACTCTTGGCCAGGAGCTGCTCCCAGGGATCGGTGTCATCTGGACGGGTGAGCACCTGGCCCCGCTCTGTGGGGTGTGCACCCTGGCCAGGCAGGCAGGGGGCCAGGCTGGGGGTCTGTTCTCCTTCTGGCGGGGGAGGGTGGGGACGGGTGACTTGACCCTCATCTTCCTGCTCAGTGCCCTGACCTGTGCATGTCCTGGTTGTGAGTGTGCGTGATGGACAGCATTGCCTGCTGCTCCACACACATCTGTGCCATGATGCTCCAGGCCCAAAGGTGGTGTCACAGGAGCTCTCGGCCACGCTGCTGGAGGAGGTGGAGGGTGTCCTGCGGCGCCAGCCCGTCATCTGGGACAACCTGTACGCCAATGACTACGACTGCAGACGCGTCTTCCTGGGGCCCTACATGGGTCGTGCCCCTGGCCTCGTACCCAGGCTCCGGGGACTACTCCTCAACCCCAACTGTGAACTCCAGGCCAACTTCATCCCCATACACACATTTGGCAGCTGGTTTCAGAGCGAGCTTGGGAGCTGTGCCCACGCTGATGATGCAGGTACCTGGCCTCTGTGCTGGCAGTGAGTTTTGTGCACCCAGGGCAGGGCCCTGGCCATTGCTGCCCGTCTTTGCCATGGCCCTGCAGGCTTTCCTGCATGGCAGCCTGGGTGAGGCGTCTCACTTGGCTGGGCACCAACCAACATCCCGGGCATGGCATCCATCTGGGGGCATCTCCTTGGGGTGGGGGGCAGAGGAGGCTGCCTGCCCTCAGTGTGGCATGCGATAGCTCCATCAAGCAAAAGGGAGGCTGCCCAGGCTGATGAGCTCGAGTTCCTTAGGGATGGAGACTACGGCAGCCCTGGGGGACAGCCAAGGCCTGTGGAAGGGCAGCTACAGCCCTCAGGAGGCCTTGGAGCTGGCACTGCTTGACTGGGTGGCCGAGATAAACCGACAGGCTTTGGAGCCAGGTAGGTGATGAACCATGCAGCATCCCTCACCCCCTACCCTTGGCATGCTGGACCAGCTCTGCTGGAAGCTCGGTGGGGTGAGGGAGCCCCATGCCCTCCCTATTTGGATGGGGCGCTCTGGCTGGTGTTGCAGTGGGCTCTGTGTCTGTTGTGGTGGGCAGGCGTGGGTGTCCATCACACCGTGCTGCCCCATGGGTGCTACTGCCCTGGCCACATCCCAGAGGCGATCTCCTCAGCTGGCAGCGTGGGAGCCTGGGCCATGCTACGGCTTTGGAAGAGGGGGTTCAGCCAGGTGCAAGCTTGGTGTTTGGCACTGTTTGCCTCTGCAAAGCCTGTGGCCTCGCCAGCCACAGAGGCCTGAACTCTGGAGGACAGGGCAATGCAAAGCCCATGGTCCTGGCAGCTCCCTGGTCCCTGCTGGCTCGGAGATGGTTGCCCCCAGGGCTGTTCTGCCCCATGGGCAGCTGTCTCCATGCAGGTGCCAGAGGGGCTACCCTCTTGCTCCTTTCTGCCAGGAGGAAGGACCCTGGAACACCCCAGCATCAGCCTCAAGGGAGGAACAAGGCTGCAGCCTGGCACAGCGGGAGGACAGGAGGTCGTGCTCAACCCTCAGCCCTATGACTCTGTTCCCAGTGGGGCAGACCAGCATGGCCCTGAGCCCTGTGGCATGGCACCAGGGGAGGAAAGGAGGAAGGTGACCTCGGAGCCTGAGAAGGGCAGTGGGAACAGGACCTCTGCCAGCGGTCAGCAAAGCCCCAGAGGGGACAGGAACCAGCTCACCATGGGGAGTAGCAAGAGCTGTGAGCTCTCCTCTGCTCTGCCCAGCACGTCTGGGAGTGCCCAGTCTGCAGGAAGGCCAGT